GGTCCACTATAAACCGACTTATTTACTAATTTGTAGGATGTTACACGGCTATTTCATCGTCCAACAGCGACTAGTCTAAGGGCTGAACGACTAGGTTCGACTCTCGGTAAGGGAAGAGGTTTTGCTGCCTCCACAGCTTTCAGACCAGTTCTAGGGCCCATCCAGCCTCCTACCCAATGGGTACCAGGGGGCCCTTTCTTGGAGTGTAAAGCGGAAGGGGCGTAAACCTTATCACTCATCTCCATCTAGTGCCGAGGTCAAGAAAAACGTGGAGCTGCACCTCCACTCCCCCCATACAGCTTCATATCGTGGCGGGGGGGGCAACTTTATCTTGTAGGAGACGGATTTTAATTGCGTTAGTACAGACACAACATTTCGCTGTGTTATGAAATGTTTAATTGGATGCCGGCCCAAGAGGCGCATATGTTTTTGGGGGCAGCCGAAACATTTGGCTCATTTGTTTGTATTCCATGTATATTAGAGTTTTAATTTGAAGATTATTTATAATAGTTTCAAACGTACAAAGTCAAAAATCCTTCCAGAATCATAAAATATAGACGATGTGAACTGCGAATGAAATAACGCTTGTGTAAGTTCCGAAAAAAAAATGAGGTTCCAGCCGCGAAACGCTCTCGAAGTTCGCCCCATATCGGTTTTGCAAACAAGGCAGAAAAGTCCCAGCTACTTACACACGAACTGCAGCAGCATGTAACAAAACAGTAACAGTATGTAGGCACACAGCATCAGTAGCACCGCAGTCGGATAACTTTAACCGTACACTAATCCAGCACTTGACTGACTGATGCAGAGCTACAGCTTCGACATTTTATATCGCCACGTGACTGAGGGTGACTAGCGATTGGATTTAGATTGGTAATCGGGTTTGTTGGACAGTTTAACACATAACTCGTGACTACACTTTGCAAATCACTGTCACATACAGACTAACTTTCTCAGTCAAGTTCTTCACTCCGCTGCTTAGTAACGTCTTCGAACAATGGACGATCATTTGTTCCCGGCCTGGCGGCCAATTTACACCAATTTCCTACTATTCTAACTGCCGCTTCAAGGCTGGCGTTTTCAGCCAATCAGTTCGCCTTGGTGACAAACCCTTCGAGACTCACGACACAGTAATTTTATTTTCCAACTGAACACTTGCGGTTATAGTCCTAATGTAACATCCTCTCTGATGAGAAGATGGGTCTGTAGTTTACAATTGCTGCTGGGCCTCGCCAGCGTAGTCATTCTCAGGTCCGAGTCCCGCGGGATTCATGACCACATTTTACTCTCTCACATTCGAGACTCCTCTAATCTGGAGGGCCAGGTCCCAGTATTTATATCCCTCAGGAACAGGGTGGCCCGGTCATTTCCCACAAGGCGCTGGGTTTCCTTTTCGTCGCCTCCTACGACTCGCAGGGCTACGGTGGAGGCATTCGAACCCGCCTCCACATGGGAGCTGTCCCCTAATGGCAGCTGGTCCTCGTTATATACTTGGCGGTGGTCAAGCTTACAACCGTTCAAGTGACTAACCTGCCGTTGTAGCATAAGATACGCAACATAGGCATGATCTGTTTTGCAAAGCCTGTACTGATAAAGAACTTGTATACAGTGCATAATGAAGAATTTTCAGTAACACGCTATAAGTGCGATACGTACACTTGACGAAAGCAAATTACGTATATTCATAAGAGACAAACCCATCTTCTCGTCAGAAAAGTTCCGTGGTTTTAGTCCGCAAGCGAACTCTACCGAGCGACGGCCGCTTGTCGACGAAGTTAGGGCCAACTTTAGCGGATAGAGGGTGTCGCGTGGTCAGCGAAACGAATCCCCACAGCCGTTAATTTCGGTTTTCTAGACCGGAGCCGCTATTTCCTTGCAATATCTCCTCAATTATCCTCACGAGGCTGAGTGGACCCCGTTCCAGACCCACTTCTTCTCAGAAAATCTGGTAGCGCCGGGAATCGAAACCGGTCCTCTGACCACTAGATCACAGAGGCGGTCGCTTCCTTCCTAACGCTTTCCAATTCACTGTTATGAATCCTGTTTGACGCTATACATTTCTGGTACAGACAGCATCGTTTGTAACCAACTAACCTCAGGCCACCTGCCGAAGTCCAGATACAGAGACAAAGATAGGGGAAGCCTCTAGTGGCGTGACGTTCGTATTAACCGACAGCAGCGCCAGCACTTAACAGCGGAAACATCGAGACTCTTTGCATTTCACCGTAATGTATTCCGTGACGCGATCATTTTGTGTTGAACGACTCCACTTATCGCATTGCCGCCCTCTCAACGACTCACAGAACGTGACTACGACAAAAACACTACCGCTCCCCGTATCATATCGATCTTCACGTTATTTATACCAGCTCCCCCGGGCGTGTTTCTTAAAACACTTTGACAGGAAAGCATAAAAGGACGAGTATTTGAGTTTCTCACATCCAGATTCGGCCAGATATGCACCCAACAACGTTTCAGATTAAATTAATTTGGTTTCTAATGTTCCTTTTAGAGAATCTTCATGTAGCAGAAGGCAACAAAGAGATTTACTGATTTCTTCGACTTCAGAATATTCGAACAACAAATTCCAGAGTTGATAAAGGACTTATTCATACCATAAGCGATATATTTCAGTACTACAGACTAAATACGCAGGGGCGTCGAAAATGAGGGGGATGAAAAACCAGCACATCTGCCCCGCCTGAAATGAAAAACACACACATACACAATGAAATAAAACTGAAGATGTCAAATATCCACACGAAATTGAAAGAATTAAAAAAAAAACTATTCTCCTATCCAGAATACTTTAGGGCGATCACTTAATGGTTTAAACGTAACTGCAAACAAATTCTATTACCCCTTCCCCCCAAGGGAACCTGTTGGCCTCCACGAACACAGACGCGAAACACGGAATGACTAGTGAATAAAACCTTGGAAAGGATCATGAAACGGTCATGACATGATCAAGTTACTATGAAGAATAGTCATTTTTCGGTATGTGACTCCGTGTATTACAGTAGAAGTTCCTACCGCACTACACGGCGTCACATTCCAGAAGAAAATATTCCTTTTCAACTTCGCTTTAGAATATCACATTCTTGGTCTTTGAGTTGATGGTTTCATCTCTGACGCAGAATTTGGTTGGTTACAGATCTCTATCCTGAGCCAGGAGAATATAACCAACAAGCTCCCCATTCCATCTCGTTATAACTAACTCTAATATTATCCTCCCACCTGTGTTTAGCCCATCCTAATGGTCTGTTTCCTTCTGGTTTTCCTACCCAAACTTTGTGCAAATTTCCAGTCTCCCTTGCATGCTACATGCCCTGCCCATCTCATCCTCCTTGATTTGATCATGCTAATAGTTGAGTCCGGAGTGAAACGGAGAGTTTCATGGAGGTAGGCCTAGGCCCAAATGAGGGCTGTAGCGCCAATGAAAAAAAAAATAGTTGAGTAGGAATACAAATTATGAAGCTCCTCATTAGGCAGTTTTCTCTAGTTTATACTTTCATCCTTCTAGGGTATAACTGTTCTCCTTGGCACCCTGTTCTCAAATATCCTGTCCCTGTACTTCCCTTATGTTTTCAGTCATATGAACTCCAGTGAAACTGGGAGTGACCACACCACTGCAACTGGATTTGCACACAAAATGCCACATATAGCAGAGGTTCAGTCACAACTCTACTTCAACTGCACAGTCATACAAGTTCCAGTTGAGCCACGGTTCACACTTGCTCCAGTGCAAACGCTAAGCCACAAGTAACATAACAGAAGACATGTTTTAGTTTACAATAAATTCCTGAGCATGAACGTTAGAATCACCTAGAGTTCCTTCTGTTGAGTGAAGTTTTTAGGCACACTATACACTTTCAGTCTTGTTTAATTCTAGGAAGGATCTATGTCACGTCTTGTGCAGACCTTATGGAAGAAAAATGGCTTGCATGTCTAAGTTTCTAACGGTGTATGAATATTGAAAACGTAAACTTATAACAATTCTAATGAAGACATAAAATGGTGATGCAACCTCAAATCCAGCAATGGATGGGGTACTGAGTGATTTTTGCAGCAGCACCATCAAATGAACACGTACAACCACTGTATAAAAAAGGAGACTTTTATGCAAAAAATATCTTATTTATTATATGTAGGTATATATACATTTTTTCATACACATGTACATACAAATGTTTTCTGATAGAATTAAGTAAGATTTCCGATTATAAATAATCACAGGGTGTATGCTTTGCCTATCATCTAACATCCAGACACAAGACAATTTTGCACAAACTGGGTCACTTTCCTTCCTCGTTTGAGAGGCATAAACTCAGTTGTGTCTGTTAGAGAGAGCCTATCTTGATCACAGAGCCTTACTGACTACACTGTCTTTGGCATAACATAAATTGGGAAAGAAAGTGGTGAAAGGGATGTCAAACTGTTGGCACCACTGCCAAGTTCAGTACCGACTAACGCTGTGGCCAGCACCAGCAATTACGGTAACATCTGCAGCTACTTTGTTCATCTGGCCACAATTATTTTGCTTAAAATACATTTCCGCTGTTGATTCATGTCTCCACCACAGACACCGGTAATTATGGCGCTGTAAGAAAACAGTGTATGCTTCTCTTCTGATGCTTCTGGTCATTACTAATTATTTTCAACCATGGTACATGTAAAACCAAATTTAAGAAAATTACTATCTTCCAGGACGTGATCTGTCTAGCCCAGCAGAAATTCAGTGAATTGTGGAAAAACATACTGCTTCCATCTTCAGGGTAGAAGAATAAGTTAAGCAACCAACCAACTACTTTACTTCTTTTGGCTTATTTTTGGACTTCATCCATCGTCTGGTATGTAAAAGACAAAAACCACGTTTCGGAGACTGGATCTGTCTCCGTCTTCAGGTGGGTAGGAAAGGATAAACCTACTCAGCTGGGCCCGTAAGAAAGAGCTAGTCTCAATCACTGGTCCGAAACTTTGTGGTCTTTTGTCTTTTACATACCAGACGATGGATGAAGTCCAAAATAAGCAAAAGAAGTACAGTATACACCATCGTCAGAATCCTTTCAAGTCTAACCAACTACTTGTTTGACTTAACTCTTTGACACTGAAGATGGAGGCTGTATATTCCTCTGAAATATCACTAATTTCTACCACACTCACGAGATCATACTGAAGGAGACAGTACTCTTCAGGGTCACTGCTGCGGAGAACCTCAAATCCAGCAGATTTCAGAAACCACCTCACAAACAAAATGAACGCGTGCGCTTCAATGGCCCGCACTATTATGTATTTTGGCGCTAAACAACAAAAAGGTTTGGCATCCCAATTATAGTTTCTTTCACATACATGGGCTTGAGCAGAAGAATCATACACACCCGGACCCAGGACAGATACATTCGCTTGGCAGCTAGCAAATTAGATACATGTCACTTCAAGCTCACTCAATACCCGGCACCTCCGGCTACATAAAGGTTGGAGTCCACCCGCAGAGAGCTCAGTTTTGAGATGTATATTATTTATATTTCCTTGAGCTTTCCCTTCGCTTAACTGTCACAAAGGCAAAATGTTATGCATAGAAGGAATATCAAGGTGTCATTCTGTTTGACATGGCATTCAATCTGATGTCACATAATAAGTGTACCACTGGGGATAGCGGGGCGCCTCGTATGTACTCGAACACACTTCTGGCGAAGGATCAACGGCATTAGGGAGAGCAGCACTTTCCAGATGATAGTGGTCACACTATTCCTGGTAGGATCTCATTCTGTGTACAGATTACAAAAACAACTGATTTATGGAAACTGGTGACAAACCAAAACGTACAGAATTATAAACAAAGAGTTATGATTTTATCCATATTTTCGTATACATGGTTTCGATTGTGTCACGAGGGGCATCACTGACCTTTCTGTGGCCATGGCAGAAGTTGCAGCACGCACTGCTCAGTTTCCCTGACTCAGTCGAGTCACTTCCTGTTCCTCCTTCAAAGCATTCAGTGTCTGTTCAGCACGTTTCCTGTTCTGCGCGTTTCTGACATAGCGATCTGCAGGAGCACAACCCTTGCACTGTCCAAACAGCAGTATTAAGTCTCCAAGATGTTCAGATGCTAGCTCTCACATCATGCTAGTGTCACGTCACCAACAGCCGGCAGCCTTGTTCTCTCTCTCTCTGTATATTTCTTTCACTCATGGGTGCATTTTACTTACTGATATAAATCAAAGAAGACATAAAATTAAGACAATGGAATGGAAACAACTTGGTGCCATTTAAACGTAACTGCGAGGGCAAGACAGGTGGCATGCAGAGTAGTCTTCAGGGTCTTCAGGGGCAGGAATGGTTGATAGTAATGTGGAATGAGAACAGGGGAACCCCATGAGGTGGAATTATAGGCAAAAGTTTCAATTTATACGTACCTTTGGCAAAGTCCTTTGTGTTCTACACAACATTGGCACAAATCGCAGTGATGACAAATGATATCTAATCTAATAATAAATACTGCGTATATCTACAACCACAATTTCAGCAATTCTCTTCTTCAACGAATCATCTAGGAAGTTCAGACTTTGAATTCACAGGTTCTTTATGCGTGACATGGAGGCAGAAGGTCAAATGGAGTTGTGTGTCACATGAGGGCTACCATAGGATGCCCATAAACCTCCTCTATCATCACTACATGGTAACAACATATCATGTTTTGGCCGCATAAGGCCCCGAACATCAAGCATTGAGACATCCATGTCTTTGAACGCATTCAGAAGGACAATACCCATAATAATCGTAAGGAACCCACATAAGTTCCCGAGCATGTCCTCCCCATTGAGGTGCTGCCACTCCCTGAACAGAATAGTGGATGCAACAATCACAAGGGTTGTGAAGAGGACATAGTACACCGGGGTCACAATGCCTGTGTTGAACAAGTCCAGTGCCTTGTTGAGGTAATTCATCTGAACTGTGATACACAGCATGACAGTCCAGAGGAAGATCCAGGTCAGCCAGTTGCCCATCTCGTTACGCTCGCCATAAAGCGTCTCCTTGAGAGCGAGCCCCAGCCCTTTGCAGGCCATCACGGTTAGCGAGCCCACAGCCGAGCAGAGCGTGATGTACACCACCACGTTCTGATGCCCATACCGAGGTCCCACGCACAAAGCGATGAACACGGACAAGGACACAACGGCCACCACGTACGTGATAAAACCTGTAGAGGGTAACACATGTGACGTCCATTTTATAAATATACTCCATTCCTATACATATCTAAGCACAGGACATGTTTACTTTTTAGCTCTTGTAATAAACTCACCGGGATCCTGCAATTTAGTGAGCAACTCCGACAGACTCTCCACTTCCTCTTCCTTTGGAGAATGAATTACAATCACTGTGGAGCCTAGCACGCACAACACACATCCTATCTGTAGAAAAACAGGAAGGCATTCATTCCCACATGCCAAACCCAATTTGAAAGAGCACACTCTACAACACATTGCGTAATTCAGAGAATCACATATTCTGTAATGAAATGTTCCAGACGGGTGCTAGTGCTCTGTTACTACTTAAACTTTGCCTTAAAGTAATGGGGGTTGTTCAAATGAATCTGATCCCGGGATGTTAAGGCCATGGAGCAGCGGCCGTCAAATAGTCTCGAGGGCATTCAGGCGTGTACCCCACGATGCACTAGCCAACGGATCTCATCCGCAAGAAAATTCCTGGGCTACTGCTGGAACAACAGCATCACCATGGCCTTGATACATTCAACCAACTTGAATTTATGGCTTCCGGACCATGATATAACCACTGATTCACAGAGCCACTGTAGAATCTTTCAAGATGTTCGTTACCAGCACAAAGTGCATGTGTTCTGGCATGTTCACAAGGTGCGTTACCACCACCATGATGATGCCCATCCCACGTGACACACTGTGCACCTAGTGTTGGATCATCCTATACACAACACGGACCCACACCTATGCAACTTCGAAGTGTCCCCTTGAGGAAGCGTTAAAGCAGTACAGGTTCAAGAAAGCTACAGGACCAGCAGCATGAACAATTCTTTGGATGCTTGCCTTAACACCCACAATGAATATTTTTAATGGCTCCTGTTCCGTCACACACCACGACCCTCATACTAGTTTCATCTGAACAACCCTCACACATTATGCCTCCATCCTCAGTTTGTAAATCACTTTATAAATAATCCCTAGAATAAACACATGCATTTTTGAAATGAAGGTATCAAGAAGATCACTGTCTTCTTCGGATGTGACACAATAGTCTGGCAGACTGTTACCAACATTTCAGAGAAAACAGCTGCTTCCACCTTCAGGGTAGAAGAGTCACTCCTGTGAGAACCTAGAATTTCAAGAGGCATGGACATACTTAATATGACTGTGCAGTACAGTACAGTCCAGTGTAATTCAGAACACTTCTCGGGGAAATTTATCAATCGCTTACCTTTCCTAATAGGTTCAAATTCTCATTAAGGAATCGGGAAGACAAAATGGCAGCCACAAGTACACTCAGTGCTCCTAACGGTGTCACCAGAGATGCAGGGGCAAATGCATAAGCTGCAAAGTTGGCAGCCTCACCCACGCCCACTGTGTCCAACACATAAAAGCACCAGGTGTCAAGAGAGTAGCACACTATTACATTTAGGAGTACAATACAATAAAAGAAACCAGGCATCCAACCCCCGCCCCCCACCTTTTGGGGAAAAACCAGAATTTGAAAGGAAATCAAGTAAATATTAATACCAAAAAAATGAAAATTGTCCAAAAGAGACCTATCTTGAATAGCCTGAAGTGATCAGTAAAGTTAGTAACAGACTACATACATCGAACTCTGCAAACAAACTGACAGTCTCATAATGCTGAATACATACACAGCATTTTTATTGTAAGAGTTATTACACCTGCCAATTCTCCTTACAAAACAGAAAGAATGTGGCAGGGGACAGTGAGTTTCAGTAACTTAACATTCATCCCATACGCTGGAATACAGAAATGCTTACTTGAAAGTAACCCTGCCCACCAAATCCATTCTCTAAGATACCCGAAGCCCCCTGCACTAGCACGCACAGCTCCTGTCCGGTTCAGACGAATCAGTGCCTTCTTTTTTATGATGAAACTGGAACCTTCAACAAAAACATAATAATCTCTTAGTGTCAAGTTCTCTTGAACGCACCAAAGTCTGAACACTAACATCAAACAGCCCACTGTAGGGCTAATGTTCTGAACTTTTACTCAGGTGGTCATCTCAGCATCTTTGTGGCGTTCATGAGCCCCCCCTATGAAAATCCCAGATAGTACCTCGATTAGGACATCACTACTTCCTTCCGAATCTTTTCAATTCCAATCATCCTGCAATTTGATGCTATATACACTAGCTACTGAGAGTGCAGTAAAATAACCGAAAAATAAAATAAAAAATAGTGAAGAAATTCAAAGAATTCCTACATATACTGTGAATGCATTACACATCAAATTCAATTGGACAGGCTTCAAAGTGGGTGTTTTTTTCTTTGTACAAAGAGTCCCAATGTTCATTTGTCCCAGATATTTTCTAACCACACTATCAGGAGTTCAGGTTGTACAGTGTCAAACGGTAGGATGTTCAGTGAATTACGTGGAAGAAAGCTGCTGCAGCCAATTTGAGGTACTATCCAAAAATCTTGAGGGGGGCTGAGGAAAAACATGTCATGATGGCCACTCTTCAGGCTGACATATAAACTCCAAACCTCTCAAACATGATCAAGCAGTACTAACTACGCAGCCATAACACTAAGCATGCTGAGTTTCGCAAGCACAAATGAAACATTCTGCAAAAAATGTGGAGACAAGTTACATGTGCGTGCATAATACAGATTCCAGGATGCGGTCATCACAAGGCCACCCCACAGCTCACGTAGTTAGTTGCTGGCTTCCCACCGTGGCAACCCGGGTCTGGTCATGTGGGTTTTATGGTGGACAAAGTGGCGCTGGGGCAGGTTTTCTCCGAGTACTTCGGTTCCCCTGCCAATCTTGATTCCACCAATTGCTCCACAATCACCCTCACCTATCATCTTGGGCTGGTACAATAGGACAATAATGTCTGCAGTACAAAGTGGACTCAGTCTTACCCCACTAAGAATAGCAAACAAAAATTTGGTCACAACACTGTCAAGTTCTTCCATATTATCTTTTTCCCTGTCTATGAATTGGGCATCCTATAGTTTAAAACCAGAGATAAATGGTAAAAGACAAAAAAAAAAAAAATATTCCACATCTCCAAAACTGTGTAACCAAGGCCAGTTAGACATTATTGTCACACCAGAAAGATGCGATAAATTTTGTAAATTTTGACTTATGAAATCTGATCTTTTCATTATGAAGTCCTATGAATATCCAGATTCTCGAGAGTGGTAACCAGTGTCAAAAGAAAGATTCATACGTGACAGCAGTGCTAAAACTAAAGTGACCACAGTATTACGCAGCAGTGTGCGAGAGTAGTTTTATTGGGGCAGAGGAATTTCATGATTGCCTAAAGCAAGTAAGAAGGTTCGAAGGGAATCCCTCGCATCTCCCCTCCTTCACATCAAGCCACCCAGTCAATATGTGGGTTACACAGAAGTGCCGGTGATAAAGTTCAAATGGCAACTTACCTATGAATACACTGGAACTGATAGCCAAACATAATCCAATATAAAATTCTGTCTTGTCATATGGCTGACTGAAAACAGGAGTACGTTCACTTACAACCTCAGGGTTGTCGAATGCCATGACAGGAACTTTATTAGCCTGGAACCTAAAATCAAAACTGATTACTAGAATGCTGCCAAATCTGGCAACGCATATTCATTGTGCTTGATTACAAAGAGGAAAAGTGGAGCCAGTGTGCAAAATTATTTTTAAATTGTTCTTCCTTAATGACACTGGGCAAAACTGTTCATTACCACATATATTAACGAATCTGGAAGCAATATCGCCGGTCACGGTAGCCAAGCGGTCTAAGGTATGTACTGTCTTTGCTCGCTCGGAAGCCGGGATCATGGGTTCAAATCCCACTCTGGGCATGGATGTTTGTGTGCGTTTTTCTGTCTTTATGTACAGGTAGAGGCCTTGCGACGAGCTAATCACCAGCCCAAGGAGTCATACCGAATGTGTAAGATCTAGAAAACCGAAGTGAACAGAAAAGTTCATGGAGGTAGGCCTAGGCCTACTGGGGCTG